TAGACTAGGAATGGATCTCATCAAGTGAACAACGGCACGCATCTCAACGTCCTATGGCAGCTCGGCGGCTCGTGGGAGATTCTCAAGAAGCCGCCGATGCCGTACACTCCCCTTTCCATCAAATCCGTGTCTGTTTGGTGGATACTCGCCACCTGAGCTTCGCTGGACTGGATTTGCACTGGGGCCTACGGCCTTCGGGCCGATGGCCCAGGTCAGAGCACATCAGGGGTGGACAAGCAGCAGAAAGTCAAATAGCAGAAACCCGTGACACCCGAACCTGCGGCAATGCCGGAAGTAACGTCAATGTTGCACTATATGACACATGACAAAACTACCACCAGCAAACAAAAACGCACTGCATGAAATCCTGTTCTCGCCTCATTGCCTCTGCTCCAGTTTCTGAGGCTCCCACATCTAGGAAGCACAGCTCATCTTTGAAGAGGCCAGCTCCATATGGAGCAATGACAAGGCCGAGCAAGGAAGCCTCGAAGGTCGCGGCAAGCTCGAATGCAGCTCTTTGGGGCAACTCTGAGCCGGGGCCCCCGCCACGAAGGAGCAGATGAGACACCAGGGCCCAAGCGGGCACTCCTAGGCGAGGCGAAACAGACAGCGGCGTGCTCTGAACATCTCTGAACCCAGAGGAGGGTGCTTTGTTTTCGTGTCCACGAGTAGCGCCCAGGCCCTCCTCTCACGCGTCCGACTCGAACACGGCGTATCCGTATAATGGCGGCACAATGCCACACAGCTTTAGCAAGGCCGATCCTGCGCCCTATACTGCAGTCGAGTCGCATCGCTGAAATCTACGATATCAGGTTGGAAAGACAGAGGTGCCGGAAGCACGTCCATCTGGCGCAGAATAATGGCCAGGGCTACCTCCACACGGGACAGTTTGAGCCTCCGCCCCCCAAGGCACCAACAAAAACCCGCAGCCCTCAGGCCGAGAGGCTGCTAGGCCCCAGATCAACAGGACGGTCTGCCACCCAAACTGCAGCATGAGCGTCAGCACCTGCCGAGTGCTGGCCGCCGGCCCGTCGGCTCCCGTTCTTTCAACCGGGAAAGGAATGCCCCAACGCCCCATGGCTAGACTAGAGGCTTCGTGCGTCAGGTTCACAGAGGATGTTACAAGGACCTCGGTCGCGTGCCAAGCTATCTGTCATATGTCCGAAAAAGGCATGAGTGATGCCCAGGGGTGTAGTAATTTATATATGTAGCAATTGTTTTGCACTCTTGCCACTTCTTCGCTGGAGATGCAATAAGGCACCAAGACACCTTGAACACCATGAAGGTGACCGCAATCAGCTGCATGACCCCACACGGTTGGCTGAGGAAAATACCAGAATTCATCTACGCCCCCGAACTCCCAAAACTCCTCGCATTCGAGACGGAGCCCCCGGCCTTCCACCTGCCCGCAGTAAACCAGGTGTGGGAGTAAAACACATCGAAGTGGTCCGCCTAGTAGCATGGTTCTGTTTGTGTGACAGAATCTTTCGCCCGTTGCCGGCGGACGGGTACGAAAGAGACAGATCAAAGCCACTGATGCGCTGACAACCGGCAGTCCCTCTCTGAGGATTCATCAGCCTAACGGCCTAGTCCGCGCTGCTCTCTCTTCCTCACCTTTTCCTGCACCTGTGCCTCTGCTGGATCACAACACAAAGGTCCAGCGCACCTCGATGGATTGGTTGTAAATCGCCATGCGATCCTTCAAAGTGAGCACAGCTGTGTGGAACCGTCTAGAGAAGACTTGACCTCGCAGATTTTGAGACTTCAGTCTGCTCCGGACCGGGCCTCTGGGGAGAGCCGCGATGGGTTGTATCTCCAGATGGACCCGCAACCTACGGCTTTCGCAGGCACATCTAAAGCCACCGAACCATCGCTGCACCAAGCCCGAGCATGTGCCTCGCAATGTCCTCGCAAGAGAAATGCCGCGGACGATCTCCTTCGAAGTGCGTTGAAAGATGATGCGCTCTGGACTCTCCAAGCTGTAACTTCTTACTCCATGGCCAAGCCGAGCCGCAAGTCGCGAGTGCGTTTCTGTTCGTGCTTCATACCGAGCCCTAGAAGCTCCTGGTCCACAGCCGAATACCGTCGCGACAAATGCCGGGTCAGGCGGCTGTCCGACCGCTGATGGAAGCGCTTGATGCTGCCTTGGAACACTTCCGAAACCTTTGAGCGTTCGCACCCTTGGGGTTAGCGCGGCAAACCAAAGTGAAGGGCTCCGAAGCATGGAAGGTATACGACTTGCTGCATCCTGTAAGCCAGACCCCAAGGTAGCAAAAGGAAGCGACAGTGCTATGTCGACCCAAGGACTCATCTTCGCCTCGCCCGAGCCGCCTGATGGTATCTCCACCGACCTTCGAACTTCCTGCCACAGGTCACCAGAAGTCTCAGCAACTTCGATGGTATCTGGACTTTCGGACATGAGTTTCAAGCCCTGCCATTACAGTCATGCAGGGGAAACATTTGTAGGGCAAGCTAATCTTCAGAAAACGCTCGTTGTGCATGTTGATTCGGGTGCTGCGCTGTAGACTCGAAATGACAAATTAGAGCATGCAGTTGTGTAGCAGTAGAAGCCGTCAAGATGACCCGACTCTCGGCAAAGGGACGTGGCGAGCATGCCCCGTCCAGAAGCGAAAGCCGATGTTGCATATGTTGCATACTGAGCCGAAACTAGTTGGCATTCCCGCATCAAAGGATGCAAACAAGTAGCATCGTCAACAAACAGCTCACTGAAGATCATGAAAAAAGGCAGCAGGCCACGCGATGTTTGGGCTGAATTGGCGCAGTCAAGGGGTTTAGGGGGTCACAGTCAGGTCCGAAGATCCGAATGGCGATACTAAACACTACTGTAGCAGCAACTCGCAAACCGACTGGAAAGTCGAACATGCGGATGTCAAGCAGCTCCTTGCTGCCGTCGGTGTCTTGAGATCTCCTCTTGGACATGTTTGTCGTGTCCGTGTCCAGCGTCCCCCTCTTCGACACGCGTGCGGAGGAGTTCGTGTCCTCAGCTTCAAGACTCCAAGCCTGGCAAGCCTGCGAAACGAAGCGAAACGAACATTGAAAAGCCACAAACTACATCAAACTACCGCAGAACCACAGCCTCAAGCGAAGCAGAGACCTGGCACCAAGTACTGCCGTCAACATCCTCAAGAATCCTCACAGCAAGCGTGGCTCAAGCAGACTAAGATGCTTGTACAAGACATCTGTTGGGCCCAGGCACTGGGAACGACATTCGATAGGGCAGCTGAAGCCTCGACTGCAACTCTGATCAACACGCTGCAACCTTTGCATTTCGTAGGGACCTCCATCCTTCGGAACAGCCCGGGCTGTAAATCAAGAAAGGGCCTCGTGCTTCGCGCCTTTGCAACATAATCAGAGTAGGGCAGGCAGAAAACAACCACTTCCTACAAAAACAATTGCTCACGTAACAGAGGCGGCGTGATGCCGGACATCTCTACGCAAGTTAACACTCTGTTCCGAAACACCACCGGCCAAGTTGCTCTTTCAGATGTGCAGCTACATGTTGGCCCGTGGCACTCCATGCCCCCCTTTGCATGGCTTGTGTAAACTGAAACCGTTACAGTGCAGTGCCCACCTGCAACCGTCGTAGATTCGTAGTCGTATTCAGTACTCGGCTACCCCGAAATTCGCCCAAGTCACTCCGAGCTCGCCACTGACAAGCGTTGCCCTCTAGAGATCGGCAGAAGCTGTGGATTGCTGTGAAGGTTGTCCGGCTCGTCGGGTACCTGAAGTAAAGGTGCAGCTTAGCGCTGGTTCTTTAAAGCACCCACTATTTTGAAAAAGTCACTAGTTTGCACTCCAGGCACCTCCTCATCCACGCATTCCTCCTGCAGAGCGTCGTGCTGAGCCATGCCAATTTGGGACGGCCCAGCCGCTACCTGAGAGCAGGTGCATGACACCAAAAAAAGGAATCCAAAGAGACAAAACTGCAACTGCATGTCCTGGTGACAGGAAGCGCGCAAGACGCAAGAGCCGAGTTCGGCCGGGGGGCGGCAATTGCCTGCTGCACATCAATGACCTCGCTGGGCTTGTCCAGCTCCGCGACCCTCAGTGGTACAAACCGAGTGTTTCAGTCTAATTCGGACGTTGGTTTTTCCGAAAATACAAGGTCAGATAGAACTTCCCCAGCTCGGCTGGCCGGCACTGGCCCTTACACCATTCCCTCAAGCTCGAAGCGTGATCCTGCATTGATGTACGAGATCCTGAAAGTGCTGTCACAGGGCTCTCCAGGTTTCTCGCAGCAATGCTCACCTTGGGCCACCAGCTCCCAGGATCATAAGCGGTACGACACATGAACATGTTTCATTGAGCTTGCATGTCCATCACGAAAGGACAGACCTGAGCCAGAAGAATCGTTATCTGAACGACATCAGAACACAAAAGAAACAGAACGCTTTCCGCAGCCAGGGACCGCAGGCAGGGCTTTGGCCCATGGCTTCGAACAGCTTGGACCGTCGGCCCAGCTCTGAAACTGCATACACAGACCTGGCCTGCTCCAAGTACGACGTCGTCTGTGTCTGTGTGTGTGAGAGTGTGTATGTATGTGTGTTGTTTTCAGCGTGTGGGTGTGGGTGTGTGTGTGTGTGGGCTGGGCGGGGTGAGGGCTTGGTGCGTATAGAGTGCAGGCCTTTGATTCGTTCGAGACGCTACCCTAAATCCGACCGGACCAATAGAGCAGTATGAAGGCAGGTCTGCTTGCTTGTTGAAAACTGCTGTCGCTGGCTGGCTGCATCGACGGGCTGCTCAATTGTCATTAGATGCCCGGTTCTGAACTAGGCAAGCAATGCCCGGAGCTGACCCCGGCTTGGGAAGCTCGAGCCGCTGCGAGCACAGCACAGCATGTAGATATAGGCTATAGTCGGCTTTAGGGGATCGGGCCACGGTATCAATACCAAAGGTGCACACAGCGCGAATCAGAGGCTCCCTGAGACTCGGAGATCCGCATCTTAAGAATCTCAAGCTTTAAGCGCAGCCCAGGCGTCTCTTCTGCCCACTTCCGGCCCCGACGCTTCGGTGCGGCGGCGCCGAGACGGCACCAGGCCTCCCACGCGTGGCAAACCAGGCCGAGGCCGAGCTCCTGGCAAAGCTGACGAGAGAAGGAGAAGAGAAAACGAGACACGAGCAAACAAAACGAGAAACCAAGGTGACAACAAAGACGCGAAAAGAGCTATATAAGCGCTTGGGGTGTTTTGACTTTCGCCGAGAAAAGAGCTTATAAGTGCTTAAGGCTCCATCGAAGGCCGACTCCGACTTGCCATCTTTGCGCTGAGAGCCGCACCTTGCTGATCTGGTCGGCTCGGGCTCGGGACGCCGGGAGACGGCTCTTGGCCCTGCGCATGGCCGCAGCCTCGGTGAAAAGAATGCCTCAGGGCTCCTGGAGCAATCAGGGAGGGTTTAGGATTGCCATGGATTGCTGCTCCGAAGCTTCTGTCACCTGCGGTACTAGTACTACATGAGGCATCCAAAGTTGAGTGGTGTCCGGAAGCACTTCCCTTCCGAGGCATGTGCAGCCTCTTGCCAGCAGTCCAGGAGCAACACCTGGATTCTCTACGTCCGGAGATTTAAGCTCGTCGGCTTGCGTCTTATGGGATACTTTCGTCACACGAATTCACAGATAAATCTCTGGCATTGAACCGCGGCTGGTTCACGTCACATGCTGCAACACCCACATAGAGACCAGAAAGGATCGAAACAAATGGGAAATAACAAAAAATCCTGAAAAGAGATGGCCCCATCAAACTCAGCACTGCAAAGGCTTCCTGGTCAACCTGTCGATTCAGAAGCTCCTCGCAGGGCCCGGAGTACCGTTCAATTCCCGAGCAGTAGAAGGGCACAGGCACCTGGAAGCTTCGGAGCTCCGCAGAGTCCACGCCACGCTGGAGAGCGCGGCAAAGCCATGTGTCCAGCACCTCCACAAGTTCTTCAATAAGATCTTTTTCACAGGACCGGAAGGTCGGTCGAAAGCTTCTCACTGCGTCACTGCCTCTCTCTAATGTCGCACTGTGTCGTGTTTCCCTCTATCACACGTTTGTTCCGGAGTTTCTTCAGTATGTGAGTATTTAGGGCTGTCGTCCTTAAAGTGCATAGTACTCGTTCATAAAGTGATAGTACTCGCCCGGATTTGTTGTTTGCGTTGTTCTTTCTGCTATCGGTCAGTCTTAGAACCAAGAGGAGGCTTCAGGGTTGATGCTGAAGGGTTCCGGTGTATTTTCAAAACGTTTTCGTAGGCCTGGGACTTGATATTGAAGGGCTGTGGAACCTCGGTTGAGGATTTTCAGTCCTGGGCTTGATTTTGGGATTACAAGAAGAAGCATGTGCCAAAAGCGTGTGCTCAGAAGTCGCCCGCTGAGGCCTCCCCAACAGCACAGCGGCGCCGGGCCCGCGCCCCCCGCGCTGCTACGGCGCGGCTGGCGGCCAGGTGCCAGGCCGCAAGGGCTCTCGCCACGAAGAAACTGCCGCAGACAAAGGCACACAGGGTTCGCAGATATCCGTATGCGTGTTGTACAGTGCAGCACTGTCGAATCTGTTCTTGACAGTCCTCTGCACTTGATGTCAAATTGTTTTCAATTAAGTTGGACTGCGTCAGCTTGTGCTGCATGCAGTCTGTGTTGCACCTGACTATACTACAGTGCGAGATCTATATTCGTTATGCTGCATCACATTGCACTGTGTTGGGCTAGCTTCTCTAGCGGCGGTGGGCGGGATCCCTGAAGGATGAAATCGCCAACTAGCACCCCCACTCCAGCGGCCTGCTTCTTTCGGCTTGCTGCCTTCAGACGCAGGGCGCCAGGTTCGGGAGGCGCTGATACACACTCGATGCTGTGTACACCTTCGAAAAACTGTTTGATCTGTTCTAGCCGAATCTCGGCTGAAACCAACAAAGCAGCTGGCCTCGTGTGTAAAGCCTCGCCGGCAGTATGTGCGGCGCTACGACGCTTGGCTGTCCTCTCAAGTTTGCCCGTGAAGCCGTGGGAGCTGCGGGTCATCAGGTCACAGTGCCGAAGAATCAATGCGGCTTGTGTCGAAACAAGAAGCTTGCGGGACAAGTCCTCGAAGTGTGGTGCCATGCCAGTACAACTGATCCGAGCAAAGCCTCAAGATAGTGTGGCTGGTCTGTGGACCTCTTGTGAGAGGAATTGAGATAGCTAATCCTGGACAAGACAATAACTGGTAATCTCGAGCTGTGTCTGCATGGATGCGAACTGGTTCCACATTACTGTACGTTAGGTGGTTGCATTGCCTTCGCTTTGAAAGGTAGTTCATTCACTCCGGCCCTTTGCGGCTCGCAGTCCCTGAGTCACTTCACACTTTTACTTTTACACCCGAAACACCGTCGTTGTCACACTTCGCCCTGTTCACACCGGAAGTGCCATCACGGTGTTCACATTGATGGCTTGTTTTGCTGTACTATAGTTCGCAGTACCGATATGGAGTGCATACGCATGCACAAATGATTGCATGCATACACACCTATGTGCGCGCATACATGCGCCCATGCATACCAACGTACATACATTTATCTGTGCATGCACGCACACATACATATACACAATTATGATGATGATGAAGTTTGACTTGACGAACACCACGTACGTGCCCGGCAAGAAGAAGAGGAGGCCAGCAGAAGCCATCAAGCCCACTGGTCCTTAGCTGCGAGCAAAGCTCGAGAGTACCTCAGAGAGCCACGCGGCTCCAGAGCGGACGTCTGCATCCGGAGGCCAAGCGGCCTACCGGACCTTAGCTTGCGAGCTAGGCTCGAGGGTACCTCAGAGAGCCACAGAAGAGGCTCCTGGGCGAACCATGCTGTAGCGGACCTTAGCCGTTGGCATCCGGAGGCCGAGCGGCCTGCCAGATTTTAACTTGGACCTCTGCTAGCCAGAGCATGACTGCAACATCGGTCCTGACATTCTTCCGAGCCCACCCGAGACGGAGTTGCACAGGCGTAAGGTTAAGGCCTCGAAGCCTCGGAGCATGAGCAGGCCTATGCCGGCATGTCCACGCTATGTGTCTCCAAGAGCCGACTGCACTGCAGCCCGGCCAGCAACGAAGGTGGGAGCGAGAAATTCTCTGACGAACTCCCGGCCTAAAACAAGCAGGACTAGTGGAGGCCAGCGTAGCCACCGTCCGAAAGGCAGGAGACTCCTGCATGGCCTTCCTGGTACGGTCAAAGTCTGTTTTTAAGAACTGGGCCGCTGTAACGCCACTGAGCTCCGCAACTTCATGGCGAGGCCAACTCTGGAAGAGGCGCCAGTGCTCTGCCCGCCAGCCCTGTCTAAGGGAGTGAAGCATCTGAGGCAGCGACTGGGTAGTAAGGTCAAGACTGCACTCAGGAGTAACTCCTCTCCACTTCCAGGGAGAGACTTCCGCCCAACCGCGCTCCTGGAGCCAGCGACGCAGTGCGCCAAGAGGACTGCCACCTCGATGGATGCGCCCTGCATCTTTGAGCTGCCGAATGCAGCGAAGCAGGTTACCAGCTGCAAGACAGTCAAGGTGGGACGTGCCGCCAAACAGGATAGCCCTGATGTGCCGATTGGCACGTTTAAGGCTACGTTGCCCACTGCGCAGGACTGTCCACTGGTTCCAGCAAACCTTAGCAGAGGGGAGGTGCGCAAGCCATCCATAGCTGGCCTTAGAAACACCGTACGTCCTTGCCGAGGAGTGAAAGCGCTCGAAGCATAGGCGGAGGTTGCCTAAGACGGTGACGACTGCTTTAGCAGCCTGCAAACGGGCCTCCTGCTTAGGAGGAAGCGCATCAGCAGCAGGAGGCTGCGACGAGGCACCCAGAACTTCGAGACTGTCACCAACAAGCTCAGGCTGAGGCCAAAGAGTTCTGAGATCTCGACGACCCTGTGCAGTGAGCGACGCCAGACCCGTCTTGGTGTCGATAGGATGCTGGGCAACATGCCCACCCCATTCCAGCCACCTCTTTTGGCGGCACCAAACTGCCTGACAAAGCTGACACAACCCTTCCGGAAAGCCACCTGCTCTCATGAGTTGCACCGTGCCCTGAGGCCTCATGCAATCGTAACACTTCGTGAAGTCGAGTGAAGCGGCAAAACCGTCAGCAGCGAAGGCTTCAAAACGCTTTGTGGCCGAAAAAGGCGCGCTGGACCCTTTGCCGAAAGCAATCTCCGTAGGAGTATTACTGCGTACCCAGTGCTTGATGCTAGGCGTCTGCATCCAGGCAGAGCCCCAGAGTCTCCAGAAGCAACTCATCACAGCTATAGGTCTAACATCCCCGACAGCAACATGAGAATTGAGGACCCTAGCATTTTTGGGAAGGTTGACCTGCCGAGAGTGGGTCAGCTGTTCAGGGCAGACCCCCTGCTCTTCCCACTGCAACGCCAAGCGACGGAAGGTCGCCAAGGCGCCTTCGGGAAGGTGCTTAAGCTCCAGACCCGACCAGTGGTCCGGTCCTGCTGCTCCTGTGGCCTTGCGAGCCCGGGTCACCAAGAGCGAAAGGCTAGGCGCCTCCCACTGAGTATTAGCCCTGTCCGGAAGGGCCCACAGCGTGAGTCTCTCACAGATGGTTGCTTCATCGGGACCCTGGCTTTGGGTTGCCTCCCAAAACTGAGTCCAAAAGTCAGCAATAAGCGTCGTGCATTCTCGAGGCGTTCTGGCTTCGCGCCCAAGGCCGGAGACTTTAGTAACCGCAACTTGCTCTCTATGTCTGAGCCAACGGCCCATACCCGCGGGCTCATGCAAGATGGAGTGTCTCCAGCATTGCAAGGCCCGCTTTTTCTGAGCTTGCTCTGCAGCCCGGAGCTCCCCAGAGACCTCGGAGATCAAGTCTCTTACTGCGGCGCAAACCTCGGCGGACCAAGGGTTCTGCGGCAGGCCCAACCTGGTGCAGAGAGTCTTAGCCTCCGCTTCGCCCTGAGCGCGGCGGGACTGGGGCCGAGACTGCCACCTCTGAAGTTCGTAAGCCCTAGCCAACCGACGCCTTATTTTGGTGATACGCATGCTGCCAGGCTGTCGGTCATTACCCGATCTAGCCCAGAAACGAGTTTTCCAGCAAGGAGTTCTACCTTTGGGGCGGTTGGCATGGAGGCCAGTACGAGAGCCCACTGCAAAGCCCGCAGACTTACACGTGTGAAAAGCCTGGCAAAACATGTCGTGAAGGAGTCCCATAAACCTGTCCCAAGCTTCCGGGAGCCCAGGGCTACCTGACAATCGAAGGCCTTAAGCGCGTCAGAAGCAGTCCATGCCGCATCAAGCCACTGTCTCCAGTCTTCAGAAGAGACGTCCTGTGGCGTAGCCCAAGACACCGAGGGAGACAAGAAACCTTGCTGACAGTCCACGACTCCAAGTGGCACCCTGAGCTCAAGGGCTTTGTGGTCACTAAAGACAAACGGCGCAGCCGCCGGCAGGGCAAAATCAAGAGGCCTACTGCTAGCAAACCAATCAATCTCCCTGTCGCTACTCCATCGCGTACCTAGCCCAGTACTTAAAGGGGTGCCGCCATACGCCTGCAGCGTGCAAGCAATGGTGGAATCTCCCGGTATCTCGTTGGCGTCGCCACAGGCAAGCCACGCAGAGCTCGCGTCTTTACGCTTCACTTCGAACAGCTCCTGAAGTCCCCGTGCGACCTCACCTTGCGGGTCAGCCTGGTCACATGGGGGAGCATAAAACGTGGTTAGCCACCAATCCTCAACGGTAGCACTAAGGACCTGTGAGTCGGAAGACACGTGGTCGGGCCCGAAGTCCGTTTTCAGGCGCCTGTCAACGAGAAGAGCCACACCACCCCGGGCCCGAGTTTCACCCCAGCGACCAACAGAGGGAAGCCCCGGAGCAACCTTGCCCCTAAACCCAAGTTTGTGAGCATGACGTTGGAAGGCACACCACTCGTCAGGGAGCATGCGCGTTTCTTGCAGAGCCAACACAACCGCACCCTTGTGGTTACTGTAGTGTTTAAGGGCGGCCCAGGCACCGGGGGCCCCACCGCAGTTAAAAGTGACGAAAAGGAAGACTGGAGAGACCGAACAGCCCTAGCAGCCTGACTCGGACCTGGGTTGGAAGCCTCTCCAACTCTTTGAGCTCGAAAGCCGCCCTGTCTCCAAGAGGCACCCTCGGCACGACTAAGCCTGAGCACTGTCTGAGAGCACTGCTTGGCAGCGTAGACACGCTGAGACCTTAGTGCCGCCTGACGGTCGTCAGGCGGCGTCCCCCGTCAGGACCGCACCTCTTGAAGGTAGTCTCGCGACCCGGTTTAGAAGCCTTAGCAGCTGCAACTTTCTTGGCTCGAGCTTGTCGGGCCTGCTTTAAGTTCTTGAAGAATCTTTCACTGTACGTTCGCTCAGGCGCAGCTGCGTCGCAACGGAGAAGAGGTTGCTTGCCTCGTTTCCTAAACTGCGGTTTAGCACCTTCAAGGGAGCGTTTGCGGGCCCATCCTCTAGAGCGGTCGGTGTGAGGCTCAAACATAAAGCATTCTCTGTCCAAGTCACGCTTAGGCCTTCCGACAGCCTGGCAGAGTGCTTCAGCTTGCTTAGGGTCAGTAGCGTTGAGTCGAACCCACCAGCACAACCGTAACCGTCTACTGTGAGGGTTTGTACGCAAGCACTCCCGGATTTCCTGACAGGTCAAGGCGGCTCCAACCCCAGACCTTCTGCACAGAGGCGTAAGGCAAACCTTGCAGTAGTGCGCCGTGCCCCGCTGGCCCTGAGCATTGCGAGCATCAGTGGGAACTTCGACGATGGTGTGGGTGCCAAAGTCATTTTCTCTGCGCGCAGCGTGCTCAGCCTTGTTGCAGTTGCTGACACTTCGAGTGCTCAGGGGTTTACCTTTAAGGGAGAGCGCGTGCAAGGCGACCAAGCCCCCCTTGAACTCAGGGTGAGCCGTAGCGAGGGGGTGCCGTTTGGCACGATTTCTATCCTGGCTTCCAAGACACGGGATTCGCATGTCACACAAAGGACACTTGAACCCAGCCTGCCCAGCGGGGAGTTGCTTAGCAAAAGCAACAGGGGTAGGCCATTGCCATTGTCTTTGAAAAGTGCGGATGGGAAGGTCCGGGTGGCGAGTTCTCAAATGGTGAGTTTTTGATCCATAAGGAACAGACATGCCGCAAACAGGGCACGGCCACATAGGGCATCGACTCTCAGGAGTCTCCGTGGAATTGGTACAATCCTCGAAGTCATTGAGGTTAGCGATATCCTCAAGAGCCAGGCGGTTAGCACAGTTCTTGCTGAAGGCTGACGGAACCGTCAAGGAGGGCTGAGAACCTCCGTTGCCGACCGGGCCCTTAGGGCCAAACACGCTTGACCTAGGGTCGAGTCTAGAGCACTGGGAGCTGCCCGGGCCACGAGGGCAGGGGCGGAGCCAGCTGGAAACTGAGGTCTGAGAAGTAGCGCGGAGCCAGCTGGAAACTGCGGTCTGAGAAGTAGCGCAGTCCTGAAGAGGCCCCTCCGAGCCCTTAGGAACAAACACGGGATTCTGGGAGCCAGGCGGTGAGTCATCTGAGCTACCAGAACCACCTGACCGAGAGTCACAGGGGCGGAGCCAGCTGGAAACTGAGGTTTGGGAAGCAGCACAGTCCCGGAGAGGCCCCTCCGCGCCCTTAGGGACAAACACGGGATTCCGGGAGCCAGGCAGTGCGCCACCTGAGCTACCAGAACCACTAGAGCTGAGTTGAGGCCCGTCGGAAACGACAGGCTGAAGCCTCAGAAGCAGGTCTGGCATGACCAACCGGCCGAAGCCAGGCCGAAAGAGTAGAGACTGACTCAGTGTCAGCGTCCTGGGCCGAGACAGAGGGCTGGACGGCCTGGACAGGCCTGAGCAAGTCAGACGAGCTAGAAACTTGAGACCCAGCAGTCCCACTCCCAGTTGACCGAGCCCTACCCCCGCCCAGAAAGGTAGCAACATCGCCCCTGTGCTGGAGCTTTCTCCATCCCTCCGGGACCGCGACATCGACAGGAAGGGTGGTGAAGTGTGTGTCTTTAAGGAACAAACAGATAGGAACTGGGTGACAGTTGACGGTGGGAGGTTTAAGCGACTCTAAAAACCTCCACTTGCCCCTAGAGAACTTCCAAACCAAGATCTCCGTTTCCAAAACGCGACTGGCAGCAAGAGCCGTGTACTGATCCATCCACTTGTTGGCCCTCCCCGTACAAGAGATGTAGGCTTCAAGAGTTTGGGGAACATCACCATCCTTAGTAACCTGAGTCATTTCTTTGTCCAGCACCCAAGCGTCGCGCCAGCCGTTGTTCTGTTGAAGCCACAGTGTACACTTAGCCCTGAGGGAGACGCCAAGTTTGACAACCTTAGCAGCGACGTCAGCAGCCTGTGCGCCGTTCCGGCGAGCTTGATGCGCGGCAAAACAGCGAAAACCGCAGTCTCCCGTTCCTCCCAAATCCCAAATGGGCTTCGGGTCAGGCCCAGCCGTGAGCTGAGCGATGCTGCCACCTTCCTTTCTCGTGACAGCTGACCCGGCGCCACCACGCCACGAAACTGAGGCCGGAACCGTGTCAGTGTCCTGCACTGCAGGCGACTGCCGCGTCAGGCCACCACGAGGGGGAGCACAAAAGCTCTCCGGCACTTTAGGCCGCCTAAACCAGAGCTGAGGCCGGATCCAGGCAAGTCGGGGGCCCCTTCCTCGTCGAAAACAGACCCTGTAAGCCCATCGCCTGAGGCACCTGTGCCTGAACCTGCAGCGGGGCGCTGGTAGTCTGCGGCCTCCAGCCCATCTGCAGCGACCAAACGTTCTACTCCACTCAAGAGCCCGCACAAACCGACTTCTGAGCAGCTTGCGAGCCGCTTGTCGCCGGCGTTTAGTGAGGACGAGGCGCCGTTTGGCCCCAAGTCGGGTACCAGAAAACTGAGGTTGACACTGAGTCCTAAGACCAACGCCGTCGTAACGCACTGCCACTGCCTCGGTGTCCCAAACAGCAGAAAACAGGGCAACAGCAACTAGGAGACAACAAACCGTCGTCGTCGTCGTCACTGTCGTCCAGGAGAAGGCGGAAAACAGCACTTCTGGCGGTTCTCCTAACTGAGGGCCCGACAAAGTCAGCGAACCTGCCTCTACCACTGACGTGCGTGTACGCAGTGGCAGCCCTAGCAAGCTCTCAAGCAAGTCAGCCTCGCAAAACTGGGATCTAAAGCAAAAAAGCAGGCAGAAAAGGCCCGCGGGAACGTTGCTGGTATGCAAACGAGACACATCTCGCCTGGGGCTGCGGCTGCCCTCACCAGTGTGGTTTGCAAAAGAGGCCATGGCTTCGCACGACCTATTGTCGAATTGACCTACGGGGCAGCCCGAAGGGCAGAAGTAACTGTCACCAGCGACGTCGACGTAGCCAGGCTCTGCAAGGGGAACAACCACCGCACCACGAACCGCACCCAACCGAACCCCAACCACAACCCAAAAGAACCACCAACCCAAGAGCCTAGGCAACATCACACCGCTAACCCTGCCGATCTTCGTCGGTCTTGTGGGGCTTTTGCGCCTCTCTTCTTTGTGTAACCCACTACTCAGCATTTCAGCTTTTCCATCCAGAATGTTTTCAATCTTTTCTTGCCTCATAGGCTTTTCTTGACTCTTTCTTGTCATTTCTTTGATATTTCTTGACAAACTCCGCTTCCCATTGTTATGCCGCCAAGCACTGGGATCCGCCGCCGCCATCGTGAAGGCGTTGTCGAAGCGGCCATACATATACACAAAACCATGTGCACACAGATACATGCATACATGCGATACATGCATGAACAAATTCGCATACACAAGAGCATGTGCAAATACAGACAGGCAAACAGACGTCCATCCATCCATCCATCCATCCATCCCTCCGTCCGTCCGTCCGTCCGTCCGTCCGTCCGTCCGTCCATCCGTGCATCCGTCCATCCGTCCATCCGTCCATCCGTCCATCCATCCATCCGTCCATCTCCATCCGCCCGTCCATCCATCCGTCCACCATGCATCCATCCATGCATGCAGACGTAGATACATAGACACGGAGAGCTATTTTTGCGGTAGCTGCTGCCACAGGGACAAACAAACACATCCAAGTCATACACATAATATACACATTAATGCATCTACTGTGCAGGATTGCAACATAAGCTTGCCACTCCCCCCAATTGTTAGGTTGGGGTTTCACAATTTCAGTCTTGCTTCGTCTTTGCCACTCCCCACCGCATTTCGACCATCAAGCTCGGCACCACATTACTTTGGCTTGCCTCCCTGCCACACGCACACCTGGCCAAGCCTCCATTCTGTTTGCTCCACCGCAACCCCGGCCTCCCTTCTTATTCCACAGGAGTTGTCAGCAGGGTCAGGCACATGCACAAGATAGGGCACTTTTGGGCACTTTTGGACCTAATTATATGAACTGTGCAGGAGCAGGATGCTTGAAAGGAGAGCCCGCAGCCGGAGCGTAGTTCTGAGCCATGGCTCAAAAGGGTTAAAGGTTTAGAGTTAAACCCGAGACTCCCCCCCCCCACCCACCGGCCCCAAGCCATCCCCCCCCCCACCCAAGCCAAACCAAAGCCAAGCCAACGAGTACTGAAAATTTGTTCCAAGGCTCTCATAGGAAATCCAAGGCCCTCAGACGAAATCCAAGGCCCTCATCAGCCTGAACCCTCAAGGCCAGACACCCCCACCCTCAACCTTGAAGCCAAAGCCCAAAGACAGAATTCCTAACTCAGGGTTACCAGAATTCGGCACCCCCCCAGAGAGTTAGTGAAGTGTGCTAAAAACTCGAGTTTTGGGCACGTGAAGTAAAGAAAAACATAGCGTCAATTATGCACTACGCTCTCAGTAGTAGTAGTAGTAGTAGTAGTAGTAGTAGTAGTAGTAGTAGTAGTAGTAGTAGTAGTAGTAGTAGTAGTAGTAGTAGTAGTAGTAGTAGTAGTAGTAGTAGTAGTAGTAGTAGTAGTAGTAGTAGTAGTAGTAGTAGTAGTAGTAGTAGTAGTAGTAGTAGCAGTAGCAGCAGCAGCAGCAGCAGCAGCAGGTGTAGTAGTAGTAGTAGTAGTAGTAGTAGTAGCAGCAGTAGTAATACTAGTAGTAGTAGTAGTAGTAGTAGTAGTAGTAGTAGTAGTAGTAGTAGTAGTAGTAGTAGTAGTAGTCGCTGAATAAGGCCAGCGGAAAACCTCACAGACGAAAGTGAGCTGCTCATTGCCCCGAGACATGACCCGGACGCACAGTTCTTGCTCCAGCATTCCAGCCTCGTCTGAACTTCGGAATGCTTGCCTGCCAAGTCGCTTCATATCGCTTACTCTTTCGCATTCATGGCTCAGGCTCCCCTTCGACTATTTGCCTCATCACTTGCAGTTTCTGCTCTTGGGCTTCCCGCATCCGATCTTCGGCCTGGTGCAGTTCTGGAGGTCAAGAGCTACACAGTACAAAGAGCGACTTGAAAACAGGCCGGCAACAAGAACTCGAATCGGCGGACCCTGCAACGATGTTCGTTTTTCCCACTCGACATCTGGTGCCTCGCGTTCCATGGCGGCTTTCACGGCCTCCTCAGGCATAGGCATGGGAATGAAGCAGCGAACCATAGAAAACCCTTCAAAGGAACGAGCCCGGCTCCAGACATCTCCCAAATCTGAGATGCCTACTCGATGGCTGTCATGGACAGCCTGTCGCCACTCGCTAAAGCAGCGGGACCTTCACGGCTTGCTAACGCGATGCGATGCCCAAGGATGCTCAGCCGTCCATGCCTCATCATCTCGTCGTCGAGCCTCGGGTCGTCATTGGGAGCACTCTTGACAAAATCCACATTCTCAAGGCCAGCACATGAGCTGGCCGAAAGCAGAAGTCATCGCCTTCTCCTGCCGAGTACGAAGATGCTACAGCCAATCACGGCAACGAGTCGTTGAAGCCGAATGATTCGGGACCAACGTAATGGGGCACCCTCACAGCGGAATCTGCGTCCTTCCGGGCTTTCTCCACTTTGCAGTGAAGCAAACTGCGAAGCCACGCCTCGGTGGGGAGTAGCAAAGCAGGAGCACCAACCCTCCCTTTTAAGTTCGGGCTGGCCCACCAAGAAGTGGAATAGCAGCAGGGTCTCCCCTTCGGCATCCACACGTCGCCTCTGACAAAAGCAGGTGATTGAGGAAGTCTAGATCACAACGAGCAGATGGTCCTATCACATTCAGCGCTCATTATCCACACGAGCCGCAGGATACCTTCGGTGCATGGTTATCAAACTGTTAACGAGACTTTTCTGCTACTTTGTGATGCACTGAAAGCTTTGGACACACTCCAATGCCAAAAGCCAGTAAGACGGCAGCGGCAGAGTGAGCAGTTGTGGAAATAAGAACTGAAGCACCGCTTTGAGTAGCTTGTAGCCTGCCCCGGCCTCAACGCGTCCAGGGTCTTCAAATGCGTCGTTGCACGCGCATCAGCGACAGCCTGACAACAGCTACGCCTAGATCTTCCTTTCCGAAGCACCGTTGTGTTTGGAGATCCCAGCACACAGCTGGCTTTGCAAGCCGTGATGTCGAAGTATCGGGCGGCTATTTGGGGAAACACCATGCACTGTCCGATGTATATAGTATGGCATCCTGTCCTAGTCATAATGTTGTTGCATACGCGGAGAAAAGGCAATCTATCTACATCCTGATCTATGTTCTGGCTTTAGGTATTTTGTAATTTTATGCACTAGCACAATTGCTTGTTTATCCTAACCTGGCAATCATTCGAACAGTCTCGTTTGCTATATTCAGCCTCGACAATTCAAGGTAAGCCCTTTCTGCCGTTCCGACGTTGCAGGTGCTGTCTGCACAAGTCTTGGATTCTAGAATTGTAGGATCGACCTGCCCGACCCAGGGCCTCTTCCTGCGCACGTTGCCGGCACCATGCCTCCAGCACTGTCAATGATTCCGGACCCGTGTGTGGATAGATAGACGCTGAACCAATCCGACGGAGACAGGAGGTCTCCAACGATGGCAAGGGCGAATCATTCTTGTCGGTGGTGTTGCTTCCGCTCAGAGAGAAAGAAAGCTCTTCCCGACTGGTGAGGCCAATGCAACAGCGGTTGGGGCCAAGGTGGCTCGCGATTCGTGGCTCCAATGTTGGAGGGGTTGCCCGGCTCAGTCTTGAGATTTGCAGTCAAGAAGGGACACATGCTCCCTCTTCCGAATGCCACACAGTGGTTTGCGTCTGCAGTCTGCCCAGTGTTTTCGAGCCTCTTGGGCACGACGCCATCCAGAAAAGCCTGTGGCAGGGTTCCCGATCTATCCTGCATCCCTCATCCTTCGCCGCATCTGTCAATTCGCACTTGTGGGATCCGAACCCAAATCCGAAGTCCCCAATTCGTCCCGAGACCAGCGCTTGAGGCCCGAACAACATGCGACCAGAGAGTCCTGGGACCACAGTCTCCAGAAGGGACAAGCAATGCGGAGGGACATGAAACCATACGTTGAAATCGAAGCTGCAGCGAACAAAAACACCAGGATTGCAACCGAAAATCCTCACTCCACTCGGAACAGAAAGTCTGAAATGGAGAATGTTATTAAAAGCCTGCCAGGGCGAATTCCGTCTCTGTCTGGCCGGCCATGATAGACGCACTCGCAGGAACTCCTCGGCGCTGTTCTCCCGCGCGAAGGCCATCTGCATGGCCTGCTGCTTTTGTCGCTCACCTAAGCGGCCATCGACTGCTACATATTGCAGCTGCGTGCGGGGATTAGCAGGTTGAGTGAAAACGGGATGGATCGCAGACCGGAGGATTCTTACTACAATACAAGGATTCCCAAAATTCAACAGTGACCCCCAATTGTCCTGAAACCCCCAAATTGGATCCAGGCGGGACTTCCGCTGGAGGATGAGCCCTCGCCAAGCCGACAAGAGCTGGCAGTGGAAAGGCCTGGACAACTTGGAGCACAATCTTTGTTCACCGATTCGGGTTCGAGCACCCGCCCATGAAAAATGTTGACGAAAAAAAGAGCTTCAGGCCATCCAAAGCTTTTGCTACGGGAACCACGGAAGCTTCGAGGTTGCGGAGCCCTCGACAATCGAGGCCCGACGTCTTTACCACAGCGTCGGGACGTCAATCAGCATAGAACCAGAAACACTGTCTGGTCCAGGTGATGGACATCAAACTCCAATCCCCATGTTCCTGCCGCAAGTTCCAGTTCTTAGTGTCTTACTTCCCCCAAATTCCATGAGCATGTAGGCTCCTTTGCGCCCATGCAGGCGACAGCAGCTCTCGAAGAAAAGTGCGGTAAGTCACGGTGCTAGCAGCTAGAGCGTGGTGAGCGTAGCCCTGTGGCTGGTCCCAGCAAGCCCCGCTGTGCAAACTCGGCTCCAGGCCCCGGCTGTTCCTGGCAGCGCTCAAGCCTCGGCTGCACTTCGCGCGAAGGTCCTGCGCATAAGCCCCGGCCTGCTCTCAAGCTCCCGTAGCAGCAACTTCTGATAAGACCCTGGCGCCATCATAGCCTGTTGTAGGGCCTGGTCCAGTCACGCGTGAGGTGTGCAATGTACACGTTGGCTGGTCCGGTGCACTGGGGACGTTTAAAATTTGCTGGTGAGTGATCCAAGGCCTGGTCCACGGCAGAGCTTTTGCTGGCTTGCGCCTACAAGAGCGCCCGCAAAAGAAGAGGAGGCAAGCACGGAGTTCAACATTGGGTCCTGGCCCTGGGTGCTTCTGGAGTGATTTTGATAGGCGGCGACACAACATCTTTGAATGTCAGATTGAGCGAGAGATTGCACGCAGACCGACTTTGACCATGGCAGCATCGCCCCCAAGGCCTGCGCCAGATTCTGCGTCGCCTTGCCTTCCTGGATTCAGCCGGCAGAGTGCGATCTATAACTGCACTTGAATACTGGATCACCTCCGGATAGACCCAAATAAGAAGAAAGCCTAGCCTGTTGCTCTGGGCAGCCCTTCTCCAACTGTGAAAACACTTTCAGGAGCCTCTCAATGTGTGCAGCAGCGCTCCTCTACAAACTGACGCCAGCTTCCGAATGACTGCAGCCTTGGCAGCTTGGCACTTCCCTCCAGCAGAATCGAAACTCCCCAAGCTCGGCCGCATGTTGCTTGCATTCCCGTCCCTGCACCATAGGTAAAGTCTAACTGCAAAGCAAACCTGCCGGAGAAGTTGGGCAGCTGAACCATTTGCGCCACGGGCTAAGGTTAGTCGGAGTATGTGTGCTGATTCCTGCTGCTTTTGCTACTGCTGATGCTACTGCTGCTGCTGCCGCCACCACCACCACAACTCCTCCTTGTGCCCCTTCCCTCTGCTTCCCTACTGCTACTTCTGCTGACTACGACTGCCACCACAATAATTCACTAACACTCCCAGACTCTTCCTCCTACTCCTGCTACTGCTACTGCTGGATCTACTCCTCCTTGTCTACAAACAAGTAGTAGTAGTAGTAGTAGTACTAGTAGTAGTAGCAGCAGCAGCAGCAGTAGTAGTAGTAGTAGCAGTAGTAGTTGCTGTAGTAGTTGTTGTAGTAGTTGTTGTAGTAGTAGTTGTAGTAGTAGTAGTAGTAGTAGTAGTAGTAGGAATAGGAGAAGTAGAAGTGCGACAACGACAACTACTACTGCTACTACTGATTCTACTACTACTACGACGACGACGAATGCCTGTACTGCTGCTGCTAGTGCTACGGCCACGGCTGCGCCGAAATACTACTAGTAATAATAACAACAATAATGGCTAATAACAAACCCAGAACTACTACCACTACTACTACTACTACTACTACTACTACTACTACTACTACTACTACTACTACTACTACTACTACTACTACGACTACGACTACGACTACGACTACGACTACGACTACGACTACGACTACGACTACTACTACTACTACTACTACTACTGCTACTGCTACTGCTACTGCTACTGTTACTGCTACGGCTACTGCAACTGCTCCTACTACTACTACTACTACTACTACTGCTACTACTACTACTACTACTACTACTACTACTGCTACTACTACTACTACTACTACTACTACTACTACTACTACTACTACTACTACTACTACTACTACTACTACTACTACTACTACTACTACTACTACTACTACTACTACTACTACTACTAAGGCGTCTCGGCTTCAAACAAGCCTGGTGTGTAGGGCCGGCCCTCGTGAAAGATGGCTCTTCGCTGGCTCCTATTTGCGATCTTTGTTCTTGCAAGCACAGGCTCTTCGATTATCTTCACTGGGAAGCCGCGCAGGTCCCAAGTCCTGCGGCAAGGTCTCTCTGTTTTCATTATGCATACACCGAGTTTTGACCCTGTAGACCCGAGGGTTCGAGCGGGTACCGGAACCGCTCGGGGAGCTCCTGCAACCGTGGGAGTGAAAAATACCGGATTCGAGAGGAGTTTCACCTACAGCCGCTCCAGAAAGCGGTCGTACAAGAGGGCCTGCAGACGAGCTGCAGACAATGGCGGCACGTGGTATCGTGGCGCTTGGCGCACACCACTATCTCTGGGAGTGCGGGATGCCGGGCGAGACAAGGTGGCGCCTACTGGACAGCGACTGCGAAACTTGGCGCCTCCAGGACATGCCTCGCGCCTGAGAATTCTCACATACAACATCGGAGGGGTCACGGCTGAGCTTTATGACATTTTGGTCACATGGCTACATGAGCAACACTCTGTTGATGTTGTTATCTTACAAGAAGTACATCATGGCCTAGGCAAGCAAGATGGTCAGTGGACGGTAGGCGGCTGGCATTTCCTAACCTGTGTAGATCCCACCATGCGTTACTCGGGCCTCTGTGTCTGTGTTTCAAACCGCTGTGCCTCTCGAGATGATATTGTCTTTGGGGCCTGGATACCGGGCAGACTGCTCCACGTTCGGCTCACTGGAGGTGCGGTACCGATTGACTTGGTAGCAGTTTACCAAAGGGTTCTCCAAGACAGGCAGGCGGACCAGGTTCAACGGGATCGAGCAAAGGTGTGGGCACAGTTAACGCGTCTTCTGCATACCTTGCCGGTCCGAAACATTCTGGTCGTGGCCGGAGACTTTAATACTTCCTGTCAGCGCTTGGGAGGACACATTGGCTCTGGCACACTGCACCACTCGCGGACACAGGACGTTGAGTTTGAGAATATAGTACAGACTTTGGATCTTTGTGTGCTAAATTCGTGGGGACGTGCTCGGCCTTCGAAGTGTAGCACCTTCCTTAACGGCACCACCAGATCACAGATCGACTTTATTCTCACTCGTAGACCCCTGGCCGATCAGCAGGCCAAACGCGCTGGACCCACAGACCTGAACCTTTCGCCGTGGCGGATGGGACCGCGGCACAGGCCAGTCCAAGCCAGTGTAGCCGTGCTAGGGGTTTGGCAGACGCGTAGGCGTAGGCAGTCGCAACAGGGGAGATCCTTTTCTGTTCCAGCTTTGCGTGCATCCTCGAGTGCCTGCGATGAGCATTGGCAACAGTTTGTACAACAGGTTCACCAGGTGGTTGCTGCGCAACCCCGTGTCCCACGGGTCGCCGAACTGAACCGGCTAGTGCTGCCTCTGTGTCGGCGATTTTTCCCTGTTGCTGCACGTGGTGCGCGCAAACATGCCTATCGTGACGCCACCGTGGCTACTGCAATCGGAAATATGTGGCAGGCATACCGACACATGCGTAGGGCTCCTAGGTACCTTAACCTCATGCGACGGGCCTTTGAAGCAATCCGTAGGCTGAACCACTTTCGGTTGCTTAGTCGCAGGGTCCGGCAGGCAAGCCTGTCCTTTCGACGACAGCGGGTGCACATGCTCATCGACCGCGCCGCCCAGGCGGCTAGTAAGGATCAAATGAACGAGATCTACACCATCTGTAGGCAGCTTGCACCGAAGACGCGGCGTGAGCGTGTGTGCATCCGTGGTGAAGACGGACGCACACTGGCGCCAACGGAGCAGTTTGATGCCATATTAACCTACTTCACTAGGGTCTTTAGTCACCCTAATCCCGTGGGTTTTGTAGGCCATACTACCCCTCCTGTCATCACTCGCGCTGATATACAGTCTGCCATCAAGGACCTTAAGCCCCGAAAAGCTGTCCCACTGACGAGCCTCCCCGTGGAGATATGGCAATCTTGCTCTGAGCTGTTTTCACACAGCGTGCAGCAGGACTACGTGCTTGGAGTGTCGAGTGTGCCGTCCCGCCTGTCCCCCGAAATCACTGACTGCAGCCTTGTCCTTATGCCCAAACCCGGTAAGGTGACTAAGCTTCCCCAAGACCTTAGGCCATTAGGGATACAAGACCCGACCTCCAAGATCGTAGCGCGTATCCTTCGGGACCAGCTGGAGGTGCAGATTGGAACACTGCTCAATGCGCTTCCCCAGTACGCTTACTGCAAGGGCAAGTCGATTGACGAATGCATCAGTAGGGTCTCAGGTTTCTGCAAACGCATTCGAGATAGGCTGCAGCAGGGATCCCTCAGCGTGCACGCGCGCAGAGCGGGACAGACTGAAAGCACATGTTACGGTGGGGCGATGGTAGGCATTGACTTGAGCCGTGCATTTGACATGTTGGATCGGCCTGTCCTTTTGCGAGCTCTGCAATTCGCTGGTGTCTCGGAGCCGCTGCAACGACTCCTACTGGAGATCCACAACCAATGCAAATATCAAGTCGACCACGGCGGTAGGTCCGGTTCCTTCGAACTTCAGTGTGGAGTCAGACAGGGCTGTGCAATCAGCCCCATGTTATTCAGCTTGTTCACCTGTTGGTTCCTGTCAGAGCTCATGCAACGGACCTCCGAGGAGTGGGTGCAGGCCCTTGTCACGTGGTTTGCAGACGATAGTCACCAAGGGTTCGATGTCCTCAGCCCGGCTGACCTTGACACTATGTGTAGGTACCTTCGAGCCACGTTTTACCTATTGGAGGAATGCGGCATGCAAGCTAACCCACTTAAGTCCTCGATTGCCCTAGGGTTGAAGGGTAGCTACGCCAAACGCTGGGCCAAGACGCATACGGTTGTTAAGGGCGGTCGTCGTTGCATTGAGGTTGGTACGCCGGGGCGCTCCATAGCTATCCCCCTCATGAAGTCCTTTCAGTACCTCGGTACCATCGTGTCTTTTGATGCCCTTGAAACCCAGACCTGTAGGCATCGTTTGCAGATAGCGCAAGCCCAACGTACCAGGCTCCTGAGGTTTCTTCATAGTCAGCAGCTCACCTTGCGGCGCCGCCTTACGCTGTACCTATCCTGCGTAAGGAGCACCATGCTCTACGGTGTACATGCCATTGGCATAAATGAGGTTGTACTCAGAAAGCTTGAGGTGGCGGATGCCAAGTTTCTGCGAGCACTGGCCAAAAGCCCGGCGCACATCACGCATGAGAGCACTAAGGCCCTTAGGATACGGTTGCGGGTTAGTAGTCCTACCGAAGCGCTGGAGGCAGTTCTAAAGAGAAGGGTCCAGCTAAGTCAGGATGACGCGGCAGTCCGGAGCATGCAAGCCACGCTCGCAGCACTCCACAGCTGCGCGTCGGCTGCTTCCCAGTCGCAGAGTGTCTCACTTCAGCCCCTGTCGAATGCGCATTGGTTTGCATGCCCCACATGTGGCCAGTATTTTGGGACTATGCGAGACCTCCACACACATCAAACCAAGCAGCATGGCCCGGCCCCCAAACCTGCTAAGCCCACTGCTAAAGCGTACACTGCCCACACCATTGACGGGATGCCCCAATGCCGACACTGCCGCGCTCGTTTTACTCGAGTTGAGGCCATGCAGAAACACCTGCAAGGGAAATGCCCAGTGCTTTTTCGCCAGCCGAGCAACACGGAGACTAGCAAAGCAAGCGGATCCACACCCCTCGTCGAGGCCAAGGGACCCTCCGAGGGCGAGGAGTCGAAGGGGACTTCCTCGGTGGATCCGTCAGCCAACGTTGTTAGCCAGCACAATCAGCCCCAAGACCCCAACACTGAGGCTGTTCCTGCTGTCACCCCTCTATACGAGGAAGTTGCTTTCCAACGGCTGCTGAATGATGCTTGGCGCACTGTTTTCTCGCAACAGC